ATTGTCGACCGACTGGTCGAAGCTCTTAAGACTTCCGGCAGAACAAGTCCAAATAGCTGTTTCTGACTGTCTTGTCCCTTTAGTGAAGCTCATGGGCCCGGGCGTACGCAAGCTCGTTGATCACTTGTTTGAGGAGCTCTTCGATGGATCGAAATATGCTAGTCGACGGGGAGCTGCCTATGGTCTTGCAGGTACTATTAAGGGTTTGGGAGTAGGCGCCATGAAAGAATACGATGTCATCAACCCGCCTCCGGACAGCTGCTGAGGACAAAAAGCGTTTCGAAACGCGTCAAGGTGCAATGTTTGCATTCGAAACTTTGTCGAATACGCTCGGCACTATTCGAGCCCTATATCACATTTATCCTCCCCATTCTCCTGACCGCGTTCGGTGACACGACAGCAGACGTGCGCGAGGCTGCTCAGGATGCAGCAAGGGTAATCATGGGCAATATGTCTGGATATGGCGTCAAGCTCATTCTCCCTTCCTTATTGTCTGGTTTGGACGAGAAACAGTGGAGGTCTAAAAAGGGTTCCATTGAATTGATGGGCATGATGGCCTACTGCTCGCCCCGACAACTATCACTATCACTGCCCATTGTCATTCCACGCCTTACTGGCGTTCTGACGGATACCCATGCCCAAGTCAAAACTGCGGCCAACAAGAGTCTAAAGCAGTTTGGAGAAGTCATCAACAACCCCGAGATACAGGCGCTTGTTCCGACGCTACTAAAGGCGCTTGTGGATCCTGCGAAGACGACAAATGCTTTCAGCCCTCCTGAAAACATCATTTATCACTACATCGATCACTCCTCTCTGGCGCTGGTGAGTTGCTGCGTCAAATTGTTATTCTCATAACTTATGGCCCGCAGGTCATACCATTATCGAACGTGGATTGCGGGAACGAGGGACGGAGGGCAAGAAGAGAGCCGCTCAAATTGTTGGCAATCTTGCATCTTTGACGGACTCTAAAGATTTCGTGCCTTACTTGTCTTCGCTCTTGCCGTTGGTGCACCTCGTTCTGGTTGATCCCGTGCCGGAAGCACGCGCGACTGCTGCCAAAGCGCTCGGGACACTTGTTGAACGTCTCGGAGAAGCCCACTTCCCCGACGTTGTCCCCGGACTTTTGAGAACACTTAAGACCGACACCTCAGGTGTTGATCGACAAGGTGCGGCTCAGGGTCTTAGTGAAGTGCTATCCGGACTCGGCATGGAACGACTTGAGGGCCTTCTCCCTGACATTCGCCAATGCGCAGTCCCCTCGGAGTACCGTCAGGGAAGGTTTCATGTCTCTCCTCGTGTATCTACCGGCTACCTTCGGCGCTCGATTCCAACCACATTTACCGAAAATCATATCCCCCATCTTAAGTGGACTGTCTGATACGGAAGAATACGTCCGGGAAGCCGCTATGCGAGCAGGGCGGATGATTGTTACCAATTACTCCACCAAGGCGATCGACTTGCTCCTGCCTGAACTTGAGCAAGGCATGTTCGATGCTGGCTGGCGCATTAGGGTGAGTATTTTTTGCAACATATTTTTACAGGACCTTACCAAGATCATTAGCAATCATCAATCACTCTTGTTGGAGAACTATTATTCAAGGTATCAGGTATTAGTGGAAAGGCTGAAGTTGAAGAGGAAGAGGAAGTGGCCGAAGTTGCAGTCGCAGAATCTTCTCGCCGTGCGCTCACAGATGTTCTTGGAGAGGAACGTCGTAACCGTATTTTATCGGCATTATATCTTGCAAGACAAGATGCAGTCAACGTTGTTCGTCAGTCTTCTGTTCACATCTGGAAGGCGCTCGTGCACAACACACCCCGTACTGGTGAGTCAGCAGATGTGTTTAGTGGTCACAATTGACGATGACGACATAGTACGCGAAATTCTCCCGGAGCTTGTTAGTCAGTTGGTGAAACTGTACTCCAGCGAGGAGTTTCGAACAGCAAGAGGTAAGGTTATACGCCATGATCAAGTATCTATTCATTCACCCCTTTCTTCAAGACTGCCACTCGTACCACGGCAGAGCTCAGCCGCAAGTCTGGCGAGAAGGTTCTGGGCGAAATTTTCTCAATTCTCCATGCTAAGTCGCAATTCCTGATCGTACCCGCGAAGGTGGCCTCATGCTGTGCGAGGATGTAAGGACGCTTCGGCCTCCGCAGCGCCTCACGGTATTAGGGAGAGCAACCGATGCACAACGGATGGCCATGAAAACGAAATCATTAACAGGTCCGTGCCTCTCTGGTGGATGATGACGCTAGTGGTACGTTCGGCGGCCGCGAAGGCATTTGATGTACTTCAAGAACATCTCGGCGCGAAAGCGATTGACCAGACGATCCCCACTTTGTTAGAGGCTTTACGCCAGCCTGGTGCAAGCTCAGACACCGCACTTCAAGCCTTGAGGGAGGTCATGTCGGTATGGCATCGTCTTTTTCGTTTGTGAACGAGGATGTACTTACCCAGTTAAAGGTCCGGGCGTCTACTGTGTTCCCTGTTCTCATCCCAACCTTGATTGCCACACCTATGACGGTTTTCAATGCCAGAGCTTTGGCGTCTCTTGTCACCGTTGCTGGTCATGCCTTGAGCAAGCGCCTCATTGTCATCCTTGGAGCATTAGTAAAGGTTTTGGAAGAAGATCAAGACGATGGACTACGGAGCGCTATCGACGAGGCTGTGCGTGCACTTTTAGCCTCGATAGAAGACCCGGAGGGTTTGAACACCTTGATGTTGCTCCTTCTTGGGTGGTCAGTTGCCTTCGCTCTGTAAGCTTGCACATTTACTGATTGTCTTCTGCTTCAGGGCCAAGAGTGATGCGCCAAAACGGATTAGCTCCTGCAATCTCTTTGCAGTGTTCTGCGAGGAATCTGAGCTGGATTCGTCATTATACCGTGTTGACTGGGTTCGACAGCTTGTTTCTCTCTTCGATGACCAAGAGGTTTTAGTCCACACTGCGGCTTGGCAGGCATTTGATGTATTCGTCAAGTCAGTGCCAAAGGATGAGCTGGAGTCCCTCGTAGTCCCCTTGCGCCGGACGATCGAGAGCACTGGCGCACCTGGCCGATATGTTCCTGGTTTCAGTCTGCAAAAGGGAGTCGCACCCGCCGTCCCTATCATTATTGCTGGTCTCACGAATGGCAGCAACGAACAACGCGAAAATGCAGCATACGCTATCGGAGACTTGGTAGAACGGACGGAGGAGTCTGCTATCAAACCTTTCGTGGTGCCATTCACTGGGCCCCTCATCCGTGTTGCAAACAAGCCACCACATATCCTCCTGGTGTGAAGACTGCCATCCTCAGTGCACTGGCCTCGATGCTCGAGAGAATTCCCGGTCACGTTAAACCGTTCTTCCCTCAGCTTCAGCGCACATTTGTCAAGGCAATCAGCGACACGTCCTCTGCCGTCGTACGAACTCGTGCAGCAGATGCTTTGGGTATCCTCATGCACAGCCAGCCAAGAGTTGATCCTGTTGTTACGGAGCTTATTGCTGGTGCGAGATCCAGCGAGGAGGAGATTGCTGCTAGCTTCGTTCTTGCATTGTCGAACGTCGTGAAGAGTTCTTCTGCGCACGGTGGTATTGGAGATAAGGCTAGAGAAACCTGCATTGAACTTGTCAATGACGCATTCCGGGAAACACGAGGGTAAGTTTTATTGAGGATTGGGATTGATCTCGTGCTTGTGCTAACGAATCTCTTAGATCATTACGTTCAGGCAACAGCAACGTTGATAGCCTCATTGTCAGCAAACCCGCAATCACTGAAGCCGATTGTAAAGTAAGTGAAAAAAACACTTACATTTAGTTTCACTATTGACCGTCATCGCCAGTGCATACTTGATCTCTGGAACACCTCCATCAGCCCTAGCATCGCATGCCATCCTTGCTGTCCTATCTCCCGATTCGGACGACTACTTGGAGCCGGCAGCCACGCTGTTCGCAAAACTGGGGCTCTTACGCAGTGTAGCTCTGAAAGTCAAAGAAAGTGCCGCCAACGAACGCTCCACTATATCAAGACCTGCGAGAGCCAGAGACATATTGAAAAACATGGCAGTGGACGAAGATACCCTTGCCGGGATATTCTGATGTATTTTGGATGCGCGCTATATTGACGATCTCATGAACATTTTCTGCGATCCCTGTTACCAATGGGCTCGGGCTATCAAGCTTTTAAGTTTGGAATAAATGTCCCCATACTAGTTCAACAAGTGTAAAACACGAGAAGGCGGTTGCATTTGGAACCAAACTCGGACTAGTTAGTTCATATCCTGATGATGACCACTCGTTTAGACTGCATTATTCCTACATTGAAATTTGTGGGCTGCTCACCGAGGATTTGACCAGGCCCCGCGGATAATTATGGCTGACCGAATGTCAACATGTCATTTTGGTAGATATTTCATAACGCCGATACAGGAGGGATCACCCGCGGACGCATTGATTTAATCCAGCCCCGATACCTGGTCCTAAAGTGACGCACAACTGTCAGCATTCAAGGCATGTTTGCAAGTGAAATAATACACAATAATGCAAACAATTCAGAGAATATAACATTCTCACCCGTACCATGACCAAGAACAGATCATGCATGGGCGTATATAGACCCCGTGTCAACGTTTCAATTGTCTGGCCAAATCGATATGCCGGCTTCAATAGCAGAATTGAAAATAACCGATCACCGGAAGAAATGTTACTACGGACGTTATGCAATCCTGTCACGCAAAGTTCTGCATGTGCAGCTGACTTGAAGCGCTGCCTGTCAGCGTGCTACCAGCAATTCGGAAGCGGTGGCTGTATTCGAAGAGTGAGGCAATTTGCTCTCGCTGGCCATCAACAAAATTGAATGGACTATGGGCTCAGTCTGAGTGGCAAGGAATATCGATATGGGTATGGGACGAGTAACAGGTCGACCGGGACTTTGTGCCTGTGATCAAAACACTAGTAGGATATCAGTAGAATACTGAGCAAAGGCATGTAAGACGATGTCTTGAGTTTTGCGGACCACTGGAAAAGTCCTGAACCCACCCTCAGTGCATATCCAGCTGGGGACCGACAATAGCGTACCGAGTTGCTACAAGCGCACTGCTGGGGAAAGATCCAACTCCCCATTCAGTAGGGCGATATAGTGCTTACGCCCATCACGCTCCTGTATGATATCCAGCGCACTCGTAATGATTCACCTCATAAGGGAGGGAGTCTGGCACGCGTATGGGTTCTCATGTGGACTCGCGGAGTGCTGAAGGTCCTGGCGTAACGGCTGGCGTTTCGAATCAGCTGATTCGTGATCAGTCCATTCATCGATAAATAAAACTGTGAAGACCACTGGTAACAACGGAAGACCACCATAGAGCGAGGGAGCGATCTGTCCTAGAAATGCTTTCCAAACTGTAGACCAGTCGTATCCAGATTCTAATCTATAGTGTTGAGGTGTCAAAAGGCATGTAAGCGACGGTTACAACATACTTAGTCACGGAAATTGAGGCTCGTTTAGGTGTTTAACATGGTTTGAACAGCATTTGAATCTAGAAGGGGGGGCCTTGTAACGCTCAGCAAAAGCCTGACTCGAACTGGGTATTCTTGGGATGCGAACTTGCAAAACAATAACGTTTGACGGCGACACGTCGGCATGAAGACTTCAGAAGATAGATTTAGATTCGGAACGACGTTCTAAACGCTGCGGAAAGTCATCCAATGGTCAACGTTTCAACGACGTTAAACATCCGAACGTCAACCGCAATGACCAGTAGAGCACGTGACCTGGAAAATTGAGTGCCAGGCTGTGGCACCGGCGACCACGTCGAGCTGATGGTTCTGAGAAACCCAGCATACGCTGGTGAATGTCTGTTGTCGTTATTTCGTATATGCGTGTCTTTCCGATACATGAGTCTCGAAAGATGTTTGCTTCCTGCCCTCATCCCCGACACTCTGAAGCTCGCACTAGTCCGGTGGAAGCGCGCTGTAGACAATGAGATCTCATTCTCAATAACGTGTTTTGGCCTGGTCTCTTTTTGGCTGTCCCCCTTCTCCTCGCAACCAGGCATGTTTCCTCGGTCTCAGACACTGCGAAAAAATGGACATTGTGTGCGGAGCGCGTTTGACATCGTTCTGGACTTTTGCACATCATCCGTGGCACACTAGTAGGTGCGGCTGGGACCCTCACAAATCTGGTGGTTTTGACTACACTTTGGCGACATTCTACCCGTATCAATAGTGTCCTCGCAGCAGCCAGATGGACGCTTCGCCCGCTCTCTAGCACCACAATTCCTTTCACGGAATTGCTCTACGCACTGCAAGTATGCTCCTCCCCCAATAGGTATTGCTACAGCACGGGTAGTATAGCTACAGCACATATCCCCTGACAAATTCCGTTTTTTTTTCGACAAGGAATTTCCGGTGGCCTCCTACAAAGCTGCTGTAACCGTGACCGCGCCCAGACCTTCTATGCACCCTGCTGTTTCATCCCTTTCCGAACACGTCTTCCTGTATTTTGAGGACTTTGTTTTTATTTGTATTTCATTTTTTTCTCCGCTGTCAAACGGGGTTTCAGAACCAATGCGGGTGCTGTGAAATGCTGCATGGATTTCCAGAACACTACTAAGTTTAGGTGAGTCACGTTGTGGATGTTCGTGCATGCTTTTCGTTAATTCCTTACCCAAAATTCCAGTAGTCCTTCCTCGATCCTAAAAATTGTTCACATGCGGTGATTGGCTGGGTGAGTTACATCAGACATCGCCCCCAAAAGCTGTGCCACTAAAATATTAGCTTCATGCTGCCAATGCCAACCTTCCCTGCACCACGTCCCTAACCTAGTAGTCCTGATATGCGGCGCCGCTAGATCAAAATCTCGTGAAGTACCTAGGTTTCGAAGGCGGAGCCCGAGACCTGAGGAGTAACCTTAGCAACAAGTCAGTATTAAAATACCTGACTGCATGTTCCATCGACTCGAACTAGTATCAACCAGCGTCGCTACGAGTCGTACATCTATGGAACAAAATAATACCAACGATTCCTCGCAAGCTTAAGTGCAATGAACGAGGTGTGCACAGTCAGCTGCGTCCTTCGGCGTCCGTCTCGTTGATTTTGATCGATCTCCGTCGGAACAATCGATTTTCACAGAGGCCTCACTGTGGGAAGGAGCCTGCCGCAATGACCAGAATGAGGTTATCCGTAATCTTTTCTTCTGTTTCAGTGAAGTTGTGATTCAGGAAGCGGCATTAATCTCTTAAGCTTTTGGAGGAATTACCACCTCAATCACCATCAAGCTACATATCAACGTGATCATTTCGGAGATTTTCAAGTCTGCTTGCACAAAATGGACCCCGGGTTTTCTCGAACTACAGCAATTGCTTGCATGCCCCCCTTTGCAGGCGATTACTCGCGATATTCGGAGCACTTACGGCTGGCCACACCTGCCTGTTGTGGACGCCTTCTCCGAGCCTCGAATGCGTCTTACAATCAAGTATGGCATGCACCCGTGCTGGCATTCATCCTTGTTTGTATTGCAAAGGTACCAACTGACGTACAGTATAATGATTGCCAGTCATTTCGATACCTGGTCACACTAACTGGTTATAGATGCCCTCTCTAGTCGAGTCATCGGTCGCAAATCGCGGGGAACTTGTTTGGGACTGATCCGTGTATATTTTGTCACTATGTAAGCAACGCCACTTGGTTTACTAGGGTGCTGCAATCTTTTTTGCTTACCCGAACCTTTCAAAGATGGTCATTTAATGACCGCAGAACACATATCATCTCCCCCCATCCCCCCCATGAATTTTCCCTGGAACCAGTAAGTTATATGCTATGCAACTATTGCTTGCTCTCATCGCCCTATCATTCAGTATACCCAACCCAGATCAACTTGCGGCCGATCAAGACGGCCTCGATGACAACCTTCCACGATATTCAACACAGTTGGAATCCGTTTCCACATCCACATCCATTTCCCAGTCCTTGGCCATGTCACCACCACAAATTGCCTACTCTTACTCTACCACCACGATGCTTCCATCTGTTCCAAATCATGGCTCCCAGTGGAATAATACACCAAATAGCATCCAGTACTACAATACAGCATTAGAAGGTGTCACCAGCATCGGGTACTCCTCTTCTCCTGTAACAGGAAGCGGCTGCTCGTCACCATCAACATCCCAAATGTATGTTTTCGTTACCATGTATAAGTAGCTGTTTGCCCATAGTCACTCATACACAGGGCGTATCCGAATGGTCACTCTTCGTGGTCCACTACTCCCTCGCAGTATACCGCGGTTAATCATACGCCTTTGCCTTCCATCTTTGATCATAATATGTCCACCTCCGATTTCTCGCCGTACAACACCTTGCCATATCAATGGCAGACTCATACCGTCCTTCGGCCGGGACATCTAAGCTTGCCTTTCACGCCTATGATGCCTCCACCATTGGCAGTGGAATCTTCACGAGTAATACAGCCTCATGCAAGTCATGGCGAACAAATAGGCTACGCCTTATCTCCCCTCCTGTCCTGCCGGTGGCTAAACGACGATGCCGTTACACACTGCGAATTCATTGGGACATTGGAGGAATTAAAGACCCACTGTAAAGCCATCCATTTTACTGGCCCAACAGTAGTAAAGATCGAATGCCGATGGGAGGGTTGCGACTACTACAAACGCAATGACCCGACAGTTCGCGTCATGCGACGCGATACCATCTGGCGTCACATTTACGAGACCCACTTGAGGTTGAAGAGGGGTAGTATCTAGGCTTCCGCACCTCTTTGTATTGCAAGTTTGGTAATTCCTTGTGTTGCACCACCGCTGGTCGCCCCGTGTTTTCTTATGTCATGTTATGTTTGTTGTTCTCACTCCTCCTTGTTCTCATCGACCGTTCGCCATGGGTTCACTTTTTTCTTGTTTCAGTTTTTGTCCATTCAAAGTGTACTACTTTATGCTAGATAATGCTATCTAGTCTAGGGGCCCCGCTGGACTTCAGAGCACGCGAATGCCCAAGTGTGAGATGTACCCCCACCGGTTTGCCGTTCCCGCCGGCCGTTTTAGATGCGCCACTCCACAAAGATGAAGTGACCGGATGTATGTACGGTGAAGGCATTCGGTAACAAGTATAACACGTTTTCGAATATGTGTGAGAGGAATCTAAGTGGGTGAAGTTGTTAGTATGTGCACGGACGGCCATGCCGTGGAGATTCCTGAAGGTCGGGATGAATATTAGTGGGGATATCTACAACATATATAAGCACGAGATCCCGCCGGCGATGGCGTCTACCACGTCATGCTGTGTTGTTGCGCATCCATGCTCCATCTCCTTTTTGCAGCTCTTTGCTCAGAACCATGGCGACCTCTGCTTCATTTCACGGTTGTCAGTCTTCAAGCTTCAAGATGTATCAGATTGATAAAAAGAATTTCTGGCGCTATGACGGATTCGATATCAACAATCATACCTATAAAAGACCGAAGGCGAGTCCTTGTAGGGTATATTGGGGAGTGAATAGTGACGTAGGGCGTGATGGAGATGGGGGTGATCTGGTGGTGATGACGATGGCGGTATATTTAACGAGTGTGTTTGAGCATGAGTTTTCAGTCTCACGTCTCTTGTCATTCACCAAAACTCCGCTTTGTTTCTATTTTTTTTTTGCATAGCTTCTGGACGATTCTCGTTCACGTCCGCCTGATGATCTCTTCAATGTTAGATCTGTCAGTGTTAGAACACAGTGGAAATTTTAGTTTGATTTTCAAATAGATATGAATTGTGCACAATGCTGTGGGACCGTGACAACCAGTCAACGATCTGTAGAGTTATTTTCAGGCCACAGCCTCCAAATCAGAAAATGACGATTGGGACCGCATTTTAGACTAGCGCAGGCAGTGTAGTGCAATCCGAATCCCCGCAGATCCGCCTTGGAACAGAACACGGAGATCACCGCGAAAAAAAATCACACCGCATCCCCAAGACTTTTGCAAGTTGCCTCCATTAGACATGGTGCGTCTCATTTCTCCAACCGTGACTCACTAAATGTAACCTATCTCGTGGAATATACTCTTCAAGGTAGACGACATACGCATGTCGCCCCGCTCACATGGGTAGCCAGGCTTTTCGATGCCGTGCAATTCTTCTCCCGGCGCACTAGGAACAATCAAGTAACCCAAGAGCTTGCTGCAATGACTCATGGTTATATTATTAGTCGTCACTAAAAAAATCGAAAGAGACCAACGCACCCCAATTTCAAGTCCTGAAGGACTTCAACTTGCATGGCGTTTCCTTCCACTGAAGAATGTGCAGAAATAAAAGTATCTGGCACAAACCACAGGATCAACGCCCGTCCCTCGTTATAGGGTCCAACACAAGTAGCAGTCAATGAAGTGAGCTACGCGCTAGTTGTCGACTTGCAGATAGATGGGAGCATGCCATGCCAGTACTAGCACGACGTACGTGTTTACTAGTTTGGGGTATTTTCAATGTCCGCGGCACGTCCGCGGTATCAGTAGTTGAAGCCTGCGAGGCTAGAAGGAAGACAACTTGAAGTTCTTCGAACACAGTCCCGTTTGAAAAGCATAGCTGCCAGATGAACTGACATTAGAAACGAATCTTTCATGTACCTTGGACGGTCCTTCTATCACCTGGGCAGCCCAGTCCAGTCTGTCGAGGTGCCAAGATGCGGCAACTCCTGCGGGAGCCATGGCACGAGGCGGTCGTACAGATGTGACGCAGCAGGATTGACGGTGAGCCGGTGACAGGGACCGCGGAGGCTGGAGCATCATGATGGATCTCGGAGAGATGTATGACCATACAGAGTGGACTCGCGCAAATGGCAATGTGTCTGCCTTCGAGTCTGGCAGACAGAAGCCGGTGTGGCCTCAACATAATGATGAGTGCTACCTACGACAACGCCCAAAGGCCCTACCCCTACTGCCAACTAAGTTATCCAAATGGTGGTAGATACCCACCTGCATCACTCAAACAGGTCACAAGTCTAGGAGATCTGGGGATCAAGGTGCGAGGATTAGGATTGAGGTGCTGGGGGTCTATGATTTCTTTGTGGTACTACCCACAGGGAGGTGGGAGCAGGGTTCCTGAAACCATGTATTACGTTGGAGGGGAAGTACGCAATGGTCATACATAAACTTATGCGCGCGGAGTGACGTGTCCTAAGAATCAAAACTGTTTCTGCAGAGCTCAATATGACGGATATAAGAAAAATCAGTGCTGATTTTTCCACCAGCATTACTATTCAGCAAACCACATTAGTATGTTGACATCTCACTGGTTGAGTCGAACTCAGTAAGTACATGGGATGGGGTGACCGAGATCTGTCAGATAAGCATATGACAAAGAATACCCTGGGTAAGTTCCAAGGCTAAGTATCGCTTGGGCTTCGGAGATACTTCAACCTTTATTAATTTGGTATCTGGATGGCATACTACCTGAGTCTAGGTATCAGTGGGTATCCCAGAACCACATATTTTCTGTCAAGTGTAAGAAAATCAATGCCCTGACATGACGGTATAAGTCAGTGTCCAACAACAACTATGGCACTGCGAACCTCAATTGGTGGCAGCGACGGCCATGTGAATTGTGACCTTCAGCATCAGTAAACCACAACTTTTCCCACAGGAAGTACAAACATTTGCGTTCCTGTCCAGCCAGCTACAGACTCCACAGTTCCCCAAGTTCCCAGCACACTTGTGACCACAAGGTATCCAGTTGCTCACAGTTCTATATGCCCTACAGGACTTTACACCTTAGTACTACTATACTGCCAGTGTATTACATCCTAGTAGCGCTATTAGTATACTTCAATTCAATTACAATGGGTTTCAAAATTTTATCAAGTGCGAACTCGGAACCAGAAATTCAGAATTCAAACACAACCTGCGATCATCATTGCAATGACATCTATTGTACTGATATACTTAAAGTTACATTAATATATACATGCAAAAAATGCGGTAAACAGTAGTTTTGGGCGGCGTGTGATCGCGGAAGGGACGAAGAAAAAAGAGAGAAAACGAAACGGACTGAGTGGGCGGTGTATGTCGACATTAATCTAGCTGGACCGTGATGTGATGACATTCGAGTGATTCTAAATATATAACATTAGCGTTGTAGTGCTGTAGGGTAGTATGGAATTGTAAGAACTTACCTTGCAAAACACTCTGTGCGGGTCCGTGGTGAGAGAGACCATGTTTTTGAAATGTTATCCGCATGTGAGCTATTCCTACATCTGCCTTGGCGAGCTTCTGCTTCGAAATATCGGATTTGTGCTTGGAGAGATTCGCCAAGACTTCGTGTTCGCAGACCACACAGTCAGCAAGCACTTTCTCTGCGTTGACGACATCCTGTCTTGCCCTTGAGAGGTCCAGGACGAGGTTCGCTTCGAGATTATCGGCATCACTGATCGTCTGTGAAAATGTTAAGGAGTATTGTTTATGACGTAAGGTATGAGTTACTTACCATTGACCTGATAGCGTCGACTATGTCATACAAGTCCGAAATACCGCTACCAGAGTGACACATATTATTAAGGCTTGCATGCCAGTGAACAGGGCAACGTGAGGTTGATGGTAAATCACTGATATTCAGCTTGACTGGTGTGTTTGTTGACATGGCATGTTAGAAAAACAATTTTATTGGTTCCGAGAATGTAACTCTCACCTCCATAACTAATATGTCCAACTCATACCAGTGTCCTTCGTGCGGCAAAGACAACTTCAAAGACCACGGCGCTGTTGCCCGACACATGAGTCAGCCTCGCTCTGGCTGTAGTACTTGGCTACAGGATCTCATTCGTTTGTGTTCAGTGTCCGTCCATACCGCAGACTCAGACTCCATGGATGTCGACCACGCACCAAATATTCCTGATGTTGACCAGGAGCTTGATGGGGCTGGAGTTGGAGACTGGGATGGGGTATTTCAGGGTAGAAGTGATGAGGGTGATGATCAAGTCCACAAGGAGGTGACACCGACTGACTCAGACTTCATCGACTGGCATCCCAAACCCCCTCAAACATATGGCAGGGGTCACACTTTCCTCGACTCGTTTCGTTCTGATGCAAACAACACGTATCGCAAAGAAAATCACTATTACCCGTTTAGCGGCCGGAAAGATTGGGAGGTTGCATTGTGGTTACTGCATTCGGGGTTGAGCATGGCGAAGGTCGACAGCTTTCTTTCACTCGAGATGGTCAGTTTTAGACTTATTCATTGAGTTTACTATTTTGATAAGTGTCTTGTTAAGATCAAGAGTCTTCCATTATCTTTTCGTTCAGCCAAGGAACTACGCGGTGTAGAGACTCGCGTTTCTGCAGGCTCATATGGGCTCATATTACGAATTCTGATGACTGGCCTTCACGGCACAACTCGCACCATCACCCTCTAGTCATTCCCTATAGAGCGCACCACTTTCCCGCGGAACGCGCCATAGGCGCAACACTTTCCCGCACAACGCGCAGTATTCCCGCGTGCGCGCCTTGCGCGCTTTCTCGCGCTTAAGCGCACTGCGTCGCACATCATCCAGGAGCATCCATCCATTGTCCAACCAGTCCCTCGGTATGTCCCTTTCATTATCTGACCATATTTGGCATATTACACTTCCTATTTCGTTATGGACCCTTACTTTACATCACTTTACATCACTTACATACTTAGAGCGCTCCCTATTCGGCTCCGAGCCCTGGGAGAGCGCTTAGGTAGAACTTACATACACTCATGTTCGTTTTACACCGAACTTTTCCACCTTAGCTTCCTACCACCACCTTCCTACCACTCAGTATCTATCACCAGTTAGTTCCATGCAATGCATGTATCCATCATCATCTTGAGGCCCTAGCATCAGTCTATAGCTAGTGGCACTGTCAGTATCCGTCTAGATCCGCGCTTTTCCTCTTATCAGTCTCAGTATCCGTCTTCTACACTTGTGCACCACTTGCACTACCTTCCCGCGCTTCGCGCACTTTCGCACTTCGCTTTCCCGCGCGCACTTTCTCGCGCTTTCACCGCCATTCACCAGGGTTGTTCAGCATCATTCCGTGGATCCTTGCTTTCCTTGCTTCCCCTTTAGGGTCGAACGTTCTTGCATTCTGCGAGTATAGCAGCTAGGCAGAGCCAAGACTCACTTATACTGGCTGAGCACTTTTCTTATATGTGCCTGCCAGGTTGTGATACCCACAGCGGTCGAGCGGAAATGCTGCCTGGCGGTCCACCCTGGATGTCCCAAGTAATCCCTACTGTACATCTGACAAAATCACCTGTCATTTTGTATTGGCGTGATCCCCTGGAATGTATCATGAGCCTCTTAAATCACCCTTTCTTTCATGATCGAATGGATTTTACGCCTCGCAGGGTGTATGCTACTGCGCAGCGACTGTGCCGCATATACTCTGAATGGATGACTGGTGATGACGCCTGGAACATGCAGGTACATTTTTCTTTCTTTCTGCGAGTCGTTGTACTTACTTGTTTTCAAACAGTCAGCCCTCCCGAGAGGTGCAACGCTCCTTGGGACAATTTTGTCATCTGACAAGACCAATATCTCTATGATGACCGGTGACAGAGTCGCACATCCCCTCCTCATCAGCCTCGCCAATATACACATGTCTACACGACTTAAATCGTCATCTAACGCCTTCGTTCTTACTGCCCTCCTCCCTGTGCCGAAGTTTATTCACAAAAAAAAACGTATGCGAGGCGTACTCAAGGATCGGCTAATCCATGAATGCTTGAACATCGTGCTACGTCCCCTCAAACAGGCCGCTCGTGAAGGAGTTATGTTATCCGATCCTATCGGGCACAGTCAATACTGCTTCACACCGCTCGTAAGCTATATTGTTGACACTCCGGAGGCCATGATGCTGGCTACTGTCGGGGGAAAAACCTCCCCAGTCACTATGGCAATGTACAAACAGTTTGGAGACCCTTTCCGCCACGAGCCTCGCACAAAATCAACTACACTTGCCCAGCTGCGCATCGCCCGAGTAAGGGCTGATCCAGACGATATCGAAGCATTCTTTCGTGAAGCTCAGAAGTTTCGTTTGAATGGTGTATCCGACCCTTTCTTTGCGGACTGGATCCTTTCTGAACCATCCCATTTTCTCACTCCCGAAACTCTCCACCACATTCATCGGGAGTTTTATGATCACGATGTGAAATGGCTCGTTTGTGCAGTCGGGGACGTAGAGCTTGATTTTCGCTTTTCTGTGTTGCAGCCCATCATGGGGTTTCGCCATTTTCACGGGGGCATTTCGAAGCTCAAACAGGTCACAGGACGCACTCAGCATGATATCCAGCGCTCAATCATTGCAGTTAGTGCAGATGCGGCACCTAGTGCCGTGATCACTGCCATCCGAGCTTTGATGGACTTTCGCTATCTCGTGCAGTCACTTCGGATTGACGACAATGTTCTTGGACGCATCTCTGCAGCACTCGATGAATTTCACGCCAACAAACACGCAATCATAGCTGGTGGATTTCGTCGCGGTCAGCGTAATAGAGTCATCGATAACTGGTTTATCCCGAAGATTGAGCTTATGCAGAGTATAGTTCCAAGTATTCGAAACAGTGGAGTTATCATGCAATGGACCGCTGACACTACAGAACACGCACACATCACCGAAATCAAAGATCCCGCACGCTCGAGCAACAATAACAATTACGATTCACAAATCTGTTCGTCATCTGGACCGCGCTGATAAATGTTGTCGCTTCGACCTCACAACGAGTCTGCTGGAAAACATCCCAGGCTCAAATCAGCGGACTACAGATCATGGTGATTCTGATTCTGATGATGTCAACTTCGATGTCGACAATGATGACGATGATGACATCCCAGCAGAACTTCTTGCGACCATCACATCTCCTGGCCATTCACGCCCCATCACCAATCACTTTGCAATTGCGAAGCTCCTCCAGGACAGGGAGGTGGGGACGGTTCCTGTGCCATTGTGCTCATTCTCTGTCGGACGTACATCATTTCATCTTGCCCATGTCCCATCCATTAGATCCATTTCTGTTGACGACACAGCTCTCAAGTTTGATGTTCCAGACCTGCGACCAGCCATTGCTGACTTTCTTGGTCGCGAAGCTGCTCATGGGCAGGATTATGTTCATACTATTGGGGGGGCTAGGAGAGCTAAACCCACCGCTTCACTTCCATTCGAAAAGCTCCAGGTCTGGTTCAAGCTTCAATTGCAGGATACGGATCTTCATGATATCAGTGTCGTGCGGCCTGCTCAGACCCTGAATTGTTCACCACCTTCTGGTGTCTGGACTTGCGGCCGGTATGATCCAGTCATTGTAAACGACAATGCGAGATGCTCATGGCCTGCCGATGGTCTTCATGGTACGTTTTTCTCTCCTCCCGTGCTTATTATTCTCATTATTAAATCTCAGGGCACACCGTTGGTGAAATTAGGCTGATTCTGCGTCCTGTTGGAAAAGCTGGCACATATTGGTCATGGAAGGACCGCTTCCTCACCTATGTCTATCGCTTCGACATCATTCCACAAGGTGGAAGTAATCGTGAACTGAGTACTCAATGTCACGAATTCCAAATACAAACCATTATTCTTTCTTAAACACTCGTAAGACACCCGTTAAGCGCCCATCACAAGCGCCCGTCGTTAGCGCTCAGTCAGCGTCTGTGCCTATAACCTTCACAAACCCTAACCCCAACTTCTCTATCCCGTTAGCGCTTACTACCGCTATCTCCGACATTCCCGATTTCGACTTCCTTACTCAAGCGATTAAGTCACGTGACTCCAGAACCTTCCAGAACCCTTGCACAGCCATCACACGTTCCATGACATCATAGTGTAGTTATATTTAGAACATCGTACGATTCTCTTTTCTATTTAATGATTGGTTAGTTAGTTCAGATTCAGATTCAGTCTCCGCTTCAATATATGTATATAGGTAGCTCGTTGTAGTCAGTAGTTCTCCAGTTCAAACCTCTTTTGTATTAGCTTACTGCTAGCAATCCTAAGATGTCCCTGCTATCCTTTCTTCTTTGTTAGACAACCTTTGTTTGAGTCCTAGTCTCTGCCCCAGCGTTAATTCGTTTAAAGGGTTGTGACACTCAAATGCACATACTTAAACGAGTGAAGCGCTCAAATGGTACTCGGGTGGGTGATGTCGTACCAGTTACGCAGCTCAGGGCACCTGTCAACCTTGTACCTCGCTTTGGTGCAAGTGCGGACAATCGTCTCACCCAATATAACAGTATGGAACATGCTTCAGAATTTTGGCTCAATAAATACTGGGACAAAAACACATTCTTCCCTCTTTCAATGTAGCTTTCACAGATTGGTTTTTTTTTAACTCATGTATACTAGTAAGATAATCGCTTTGGGTGAGAAGCCGTTTATTATTAGTTCTTGGAATGCTGCGCTTTGCGGCGCATGATAGCACTGTCTGAAACGATCCCACCGTTGTCATACTAGCGCAAACCAGACAAAAAATGGCTTCCTTTTTCAGGACGGTTGACAACAGAATCAAACTTTCCTCCTTGTTGTCCATCCCTGACGTCAGCGATGTCCATACCATGAACAAAATCACTTCTGACGAACTCAATCATTTGGTTATGCACGAGGACGCACCAGAGGCATCGCAACCGCTGGGGCACTTGCTGTCTCATATTTTTAAACCTTTCAAGGTCCCTCTCCCTCATGTATCTGAACTCCAAATTCCTCTAAAAAAATCGTCCATCCCAACGAACACGTCAGATCGCAATATCATGGCTTATCGCCAGATTCTCTCGTGCCACTATACAACATCGAAACGAGTACTTGGAACTGGGATCTTCCAGTTAATCCCCCTGGAGGTGGCTCGGACTCAGACACTAGTGGTAGTAGCCACGGTGCTCCAGTGAGTCAGGACCCAGAGGTTGCAGAGAGTGCAACTTATGAAGAAATTTTCACATCCTTTATGAATGCTCTTGCTGGCTGTTTATCAGCATCACAACCCCTCCTAGAACGCGAGTGTTATGCAACTCGCACATGGAGCGCAGCCAATGCTCACAAGGCATTGCCCGGGAGCGAGATAAAGTGCAAACCTGACCTTGTTCTATCTGACAATGTCACAGCAAAGTGGGGAAATATCAGGGTATCCGGTGAGCTGACACATAGTCCTTACAAGCCTGCAATGCGGCTTGGGAAGGCTGCAGACACCCATGCCTACCTCATGATGAGCGAACAGCCCTGGAGGCGCTTTTCGCTCATATTATCATTCACTAATGCCTATCGTCATCTCAGAGTCCTCCTGTATGATCACTCTGGTGGCGTGGTATCTACCCGCTTCGACATATATCAGCAACCCGACTTATTTTCTCAGATAATCGCTGTTATCAATTTCGGCAATCTAGAATGTGTCAGGTATGATTCAACAGTTTCGTTCACGAAACTTGTTTCGCCACCCCTCTCCAAAAATATCCGTGAATATCGCCCAATCAAGAACATACCCCGACGTAGCAGTTCAGCAGACCCTGCCGCATCCATTTCTGAATCCCTCGATGAACTGGGCTCTTGGGACCCGTCCTTTGACGATGATCTAAAGTCTGTAGTCTCTCATGACTCTGACGATGATCTCGAGTCTGTGGTCTCTGATGACTCTGGCTCTGAGGAACGCTTAACTGACTCAGAGGACGCACCTGAAGGAAATTCAATTGAATCTACTACGCAAACGGAAGAATTCCCCCCATCCCTCCCTCCAGTGCAACCCACTATGGTGTCCAGTGCCCCCCTCCTCAGCCTCGCATCCCAAATTCCCCAGGACTTGACAGAGAGTATATCTTCCGTCACGCCTCATCCTTCCCAATTTCCCTACTCTGTGCACTCACCTGAACCTTGTGGCAAGATCCGCGTAGGGGATGACGTGTACATTATCAAGCGAATTCTTTCTGCAAGCCGGGGGCTTGTTGGTCGTGGATGTATCTGCTATCTGGCCAGTCTGGGCGATGAAGATTTTATCATCAAGGACCATTGGGTTCTTGGCAAGCGGGAAGATGTCATTTTGAATGAGATAGAGATGTTGAAATTAATGCAAGGTGTCCCTGGCGTTCCCGAGCTAGTAGATTATTGGCTCGTCACGACATCAGAAGGCGAGGTCGATGTCACTCGAAGTTATCGCAAAAGGGAACGCCGGAGTACCAAGGGCACCAGTCGCACTCATGTCCACCTTGTCCTAAAGCCGTGTGCTCGCCCCCTCCACATGTTTCGAACGCTGAAAGAGTTCGTGAGAGCATTAAGGGACATTGTGATCAGTAAGTGTCTACTAGTTGAGTTGTGTAAGAGCATTGAACTGATGTTTCTTCTTGTAGTCCAGAGAATGGCGGTGGAGGAGCGCGGGATCCTGCATCGCGATTGTAGTCTTAATAATGCGATGATCCTGGATGATCTAGACCTCAGCAAGGGGTTCCTTATTGACTGGATTACGCATTGCTGCGGACAATAAATATCCCATCGGTGGTACGGTAAGTACATTCATTTCATATCGAGTTTCAAACATTGATTCATTTTCCAGGGCACGATCCCCTTCATGTCACGCATGCTTCTCAGCCAGGTTTCGCTTTTCCAACAAAAGGTGGTTGCAGACGACTGAGCAGAAAAAGCTGATGAAAGCAAACAAATCGAAAATCGAAATCGAAGAATGCTCCTGCCCTGAAAACACCGAAAACCTCCTCAGATTCTTTAGCGCTGCCCGTTTCTCATGTGGTCCAAGGTTACTCTGATGATCTTGAATCTCTTTTCTTCATATTCGCTTGGGTTTGCATCAAGTTCTGCGGTCCCAACGGCACGGTCCGTCAGGAGCACATGCCCAATTCCTTACTCGATCGCTGGACCAGCCTTGACCTGGCATTGTGTGCTGCCTTCAAGATCACCTTTTTCGCGAATCCATTGGATGAACAGTGTCTCATAAACGAATTTCACCCATACTTCAAACCCCTCATCCCCCTTGCAAAGGATTGGTGCGCAGCATTGAAGGATAACATGGTTAACCCTGTTACCTTTGACGCCATTCTTCACATACTCAACTCTCATCTTGAGGAGCTTTCCGATGATGAGGAGCTCCAATCCACTGTGACAATGCTCAAGAAAACTGCCACTGCTCTTACTAGTAGCTTGAAATGTGTTGCTTCACTGTCTTTGCCCATGCCGAAGCGGAGGAAGTCGGACGACTTGCCGGAGACATCCGAACAGGTGTAACATATTGCATATCATATGCATTTTCTTATTAGTAGTTATCACACTGACTCGGATGGGTGTCACGTATTTCCTGACATGTATATGACTACTTGTAGATCTACTCTGAGTCATGTACGACTGACATCGATATTGTTTGCCTTATAGTTTACGTTTTTCTTACATAATGATATGTTGACTTGGATATGTGACACCAACAGCACACTTACAAATTAATTGCACGTAATAACACAGCTGCAGCATTGACTCAAAGGTGCGAATTTTATGTCTTTCTATTGGTGCATAGTCTTTGATTACCTCCATCAGTGCTGCGTCCTGCATACAGTCGAGGCAAATACCGTAGCAGTACTCCAATAAGCATCGCAATAACGTCAAGGCTATACGAGTCCTTCCGCCAAGATTTGTATAAAATGGTGAGTCTGATTTGTAAATCACCTGTCTTGCTGCTTTCTTTATTGCAACATGCCTCCTCGTGCAGTAGCCAGTCCCAAGAAGAAAAGGTCCAAGCGCAAAGCTTCTGACGCTTCAAAGGCTAGCTTACCGAAGAAGCCCCGTGCAGCAAACCCCGTCGAAATTCCTAGCATGCCGCTTGTATCTCTTGGTCTAACCAAAGTTGATGCAGCGGACGCTGCTCCTCAATGTTCTGGCCGCCCCAATGCGGGAACAGGGGGTAGGAATGCCCAGCTGGAGAAAATTGGGGTAGTGTTAGAGGCTAAGTCCCGGAATCGGAAACCCAAGGGCACCACATCTCTTGGTATGGTCAATCCCGTGAACCCTCAGGCTCCAGAACCACATCGTAAAGGCCAAAAGAATCGTCAGAAGGTATAACACACAGTCTTCGTTGTCAGGTGGTGTTGATTGTGCGTTTAGGTGCTCCCCCCGCCATACAGTCCTGACCCCTCAGACTTCAGTGCCAGCCCCCAGGTGCCTCATTTTTATTGCAGCAAAATGGTGGGAGGTTTGGTTTTGCAGGCTTCGACCACCACTTGTGTTGTCCCTCCTGGTGCGGAGCCCAATCCTCAAGTCTTGAATAACCCATATCTTGAGCAGCGCAATCAGAATACTTTCGCTGATCACTCCTGCAGTTCACAACCTCAAACAACTGCTACCTTGTCAGATTACAATATAGACCCGGCCCTGCGTGAGGAGGGTGACTGTCGCTAGGCAAGGACTTCACGCAAGGCTGGTAGGATCCGATCTGGAGGACAGCGACTCTAGCGGTAGTGGTACTGACACTGACATTGACAAAGACGACGACGAAGAGGGTGAGGACGAGGGCAAGGGTGAGGGCGAGGACGAGGATGAGGACAAAGGAGACGAAGGAGAGAATAATGAATCCCAGTTTGGTTGGGGGGAAGCTCACCAACGGCAGAAGGGACATCCAGGTAAGAATTTATGTTAGGAGTACCCTCACTGACTCAATTTACAGGATTTTCAGCTGAAGGACTCCCTACTCAGGCTCGAGTTGCTCACCCTCTGACACCAGACTTCGAATTTCAATACTCACGCGATGAAGATGAAGACTCTGCCTGGATGCGTCTCAACAACAGCAACCAGGTATTATCTTCATTATTCATTTGCATCATGCTCACAGTTTCTCACCTTTTAAGCCTCTGGGCACCTTACCAGGAGTGCAGCAGGAACGATCAGATCCTCAGGTGAGAGAGTAGTTCTGTTTTAGATGAGGCTCACGATATTTCAAAGACTAACACCTCAAAGGCCGAGGATGTATTGAAGCGCCACCATAAGAAAAATGGTCAGCCTCGCCTTCCCGACCCTGAAACGCTCCAGCTGTTGAATCAAGTGGCGGAGTCTGTCGACCAAGTTCAGCGCCGGTCAAAATCCAAGAAACCCAAGGGATCTGATGGGCCGAGGCCTGATCAACTGGCTTGGTATGGACCACACTGGAAAAGTTTTCTCGAGGAGGCCAAAGGAGAGTGTCGCGGGCAGCATGCCCTGGAAAACCCATTCCCGCCTTTAGTCAAGGAGATGCCAGGAACCATCTCCGAGGTTCTACTTTCAGTTCTGGTCGCATGGGACAAGAACGGTAGACAGTTTGAAGCTGGTACGTACTTGTTTGTTCCCGAACTAATATCCCGAACTAATCTGTTTCATATCGTGATGCAGGGGTCTGGCCAGAGCAGCAATATAACATGACGCGATTGGTGTGTGGTTTACTTACATTCATAATTCCTTGTTGACGCATCTCACATTTGTACTACAGTTGTATGACGACCTGTCAACTTGGCGGTCTGATCTGAAGAAGACTGCAATAAGCATCGCGCCGCTATCATACTCGCTTTTGCCTCCGCCTTCGGTTCCTCCTCAACAACGTGCAACTTGGGTCGAAAACACTGCTAAAAATTTACTCCAGGGTGGTTTGTATTTACGGTTTGGAATAGACGAGAATGTAAGTGATTTTGCGCTAAATATGCCCATACTCATGGCAAGATCAACAGGGGCAAATGAGGAACTTCGCTAATCCTGCCCTCCGTGATGCATCCATTGCTTTTTTTTACACAGGACCTTACCAGATTGCACGGAGGCGGCCAGATCATTTCCGCACACAATTGCCAATATCATGCTTAGCCTTAGTTGCCACAGTGGTGACGTGTTCTCCTCCCCTTGATGTCATGCTCATGTACTGATTTTTCTATCTATAGTTCCACTGCGTCTTTGACAGTCTTGAGAAGAACGGTAATGATAAACGTTATCCGAATTTCTCCTCGAAGGAATACTCGCCGATCTACTGGAAAATGCTCAACATCATCAAAAATACCCTCAAGGATGAATATCACGGCCCTAGATTGTCAGCACAACTTCAAGAATGGGCCGAAGCCGGATGGTAAGTTCTTTTCATATGAAAAACCTCAACTGATTTCATTCATACAGGGCCGAAAATCTCAAGCTCGATGGCGGCGCTATGGAGGCGAGACATGACCACCTCCAGGTTATTCTGGACTAAACCTTTGTATTCCGCACTCTTCACTTACCCTGTAGTCGCATTTCTTTTGATTCGTCATTTACTACTACCTACTGTTATGTGCTTTCGTGTTTCCGTGATCCGAGATTCAATATATGTCATTTGTGGCTATGCTACTGTATTGAGTGAAAAAATATGTACAACGAGCAATGTCTGCACAACTCCCATTTTCTGAGTGGTCTGTGAGTGTCTGTACAGCCATAGACAGAGGAAACCAGCGCTATTTAGTCCTCACTGGGTGTGTCTGTGGGCATCTGTACAGGGATTGACAGAAAGGTCTGCTACTGTAGTGAGCTAGGTAGTAGGGACCAAGCTATACGGCTGGGATGCTGTACAGCTCTGTACAGCTCTGTACAGAACATTATAGTTTACTGATGAGACTGAAAGCCCTCGGGGTCGTAGGTGCTGGGTGCCCAGCACCTGTGATCTTCACCGTTACACCAACGGCAATAACAACACTGCTTGGGAACTAGACGAAGGTCACAATGACTGATCAAGCTGGTGAATCGGTGATTAGTTAGTGACCGGTGCAAAACAGGTGATTTCAAATCACCACTTGTTAGACGCTGTTATAAAACCAAAAATGATTGTCATATTTACTTTACGAGAGGGAGGCCATAAGACGCTGTTTGAAGCTGGAGCAATCACCATCGGACCAAAAGAACCTTGATGGAGTCTGTGCTTGAACAAAGTAAAAAGTTTGCCGCAGGCACATCACCAAAATGCCAGTAAATAGAATGCACTGATGCTGAAAATTTCCTGGATCATTCCAAAGAACTTGTCTAAGCTACTACATTAATCAGTACCACCCAAATGTAGTTTCAGACGGCATGTAGAGTACAAACCGTATGGGCGGGTGGGAAGACCTTTTGCTAAGCCTTGGCAACGGATCCAGATTGATCTGCATACATTTATCAGCTGTTCTTTACAACATCAACACAGGTATGAAAGCTTGATGCCTCAAATTTGTGTGGGATGTTGCCGAAGCCATTGAATTTGAGTCATTCGAAAACTGACATCATAGTATTCTCGAACCAAATTTTTGGCGAGAGCCCGGTCATACCCGATTGCCAGAACAGCTCAGATGAATATTAACATCATAGAAGTTTGGGGTTTTTTGTCAATCGAGGTGGCGCTCACTAAAACCTTTCCTACAGGCTACCAACAGATGTGCTAATTCGATTGCTGACTCGAAAACGGTGATGGTGGCTCTGAAGAGCTCTGATGAAAGAAGCAGCGGCAGGTGGTATTTGCTAGCATTTACAGCATCCTGATAGTCCTCGAGAAAGAGTGTTGTGGCATAGATCATTGATAGAGTTCGGCAGGTTTAGGCCACTTCAACGACTTCTCTAAGATCCAGGAGAGGGCAATCGCGGGGGACCCATCAGAAGTTATCTAGTCTTTTCCATCATTCGGTTTGTATCCCCTCCTTGGGATAAAACGGTGGCTTATGTTGGCTTGTGAGGCAGTATATTAGAATGATGAGGGTGGGATAAGGCTGGGCGCTGGGGCAATTTCAATGAATCAGGAAGACAGATGAGGCCCCAAAATAAAATCGACCTTTTGATCAAATGGCAGAGGGCTCGTCAATGTCATTGGAACGCATTGGGTGATAGACAGAAGAGAAACAATTTACAAATATTAATGGTGGCACATCAATGCATCAACTGTGTTACCTACCTGCTAGGCTGTCCAGTTCAGGCACATGCACAGCACCATACTCATGAATTGTGACTTCTGATCCAGACCAGACCTACTGCAGAGTAGCTGAGGTGGAGGTTTGTGTTGGCATCTTTCAGGAATTTCCAGCCAGCGCGCGACACGCGTCAGCCACCAGCCACCCCGCCATCTTACATCATCCGCCAATTATCATGCACCTTCTTCGGATGCCTTACGCACACACTACGAGCTTGCACAGATGTCACTTCTCGACCTTACTTGCTTCATCTGTTATATAGACTGCGGACAACATCTCATGCCCAACGAATGAAATGAAATTGTACATCAATGGGTTTTGTGCGAGCGCATGATGAGAAGTCATTTTATGCATGTATTTGATTATACATATTTCTTTGTCACGAATGGGGCAAACGGGGCATTTCGAAAGTCGAAGTATGAGATGCCGGGTGCCCTTCTCCGAGGGCACATCATGATGTGTGGTACTGAGAGCGAGCGATACGTGATGCCGCCGTCCTCGAGGCTATGATATTCGAGCAAGTTAAGTCTGGATGTATCAATTTACTATAGCTATTAGCTAAGGACCATCTCGTATGAACTTTGCAGCGCCAGAGGCTGCCACTAGCAATATTGGCCGCTGATCATGACATACAAAATGTATGTAACTCAGTGTGTTATAGTTGAAATGCAATGAACTTACGCTCGGTAGATCACCGATCAGTGACTCAATATTTACATTAAATCATTGTTTGACCCCACCTGTAGACTTCGATGCCTTTTATGGACACAGTATTTCCAAAATTGTGGGTTGAGCCAGCCCCAGATCTACTGACATAAGGAATGGCAATGTGGAGATAAACTCGTAAACTTAATGTGTCACTGACAACCCAGCTGGGAGGGTAATTGGAGATTCATTGACCGTAAGTTGGCCGCAAGAAGCGCAAACACGGAGATGAACTTGAATATCACTCCTTCCACCCAGTATTTGGACTGTCGCAATCACGCATCAGGCACCATGGTTAACCTTCAAGACAGTACAGCTTACTGAGTCCGGTACAGCCATTATCACCGGTTGGCGTTGGTGTGGCATCCATTGCACTACCATTAAAGTGATAACGGGGTAGCTTAATAGTTGATCTGAGCAACTTCCTCAGTACAGCTAGTCTCAGATTCAAAAGTCATTGCGGTTGCAACAGTTCGGGATCAAACCTAGGTTCAGGACCAGACTGCTGCAAGACTAGAACTTTAGCTTGCCACAAAAACGCAGGGCCACAGTACGGGAACTGTACTACCATGAAAGTGTGCGAGTGAGTTTTGTCTGGGTTTAATGAATAGTGACAACTTAGTTGGTTTACTTACACTTATTTATTATAGACGTCCGGATTTTCTCAAACTAGAGCAATCGCTTGCATGCTCGCCTTTGCAGGCAAATATATGTGCTCAAGATATTCAGAGCACTTACAGCTGACTGCACCTGCCTGTTGTGGACGCCTTCTCCCAGCCTTGAATGCATCTTACATCAAATATGGCATATACCCGTGCCGGCATTTATCCTTGCTTATATTTCAAAAGATACTAACTGAAGTACGGTATACACTTACTTGTTATGGACGCCTTCTCTAGCTGAGTCCATTGGAATAACATCACAGCAATTCCATATTTCATGTACTAATTATGGGGAACTCGTTTGGGACTTATCGGTGTACATCTTGTCACTATGTAGCCAATGCCATGCCACTTGGTTTACCATGGTGTGGCCATTTTTTTGCTTACCCGAACTTTCCCTAACCCCCTCCTTTCAAAGATGGTTATTTAATGACCGCAGAGCACACATCATCTCCCCATCCCCTGGATGAATTTCCCCTGGAGCCAGTAAGTTATATACCATGCAATTATTGCTTGCTCTCATCGCCCTATCATTCAGTACGCCCATGCCAGATCAACTTGTGGCCAATCAGGACATCCTCGACGACGACCCTCATTGTGCCTTCGTAAATCCACCCGGCAGCATGCTCGACACCAATGACATGGTAGGATGTCCTTCTCCGTCACATTATTTTTTTAAACAACCGACCCCTTCAAAGTTAGAACACTCAAGGTCACATTCAAACATGGCAGATCATCAGACGTCAGGGCTCAAGTTAGCCCACTCCTTCTCTTCCTTACAGACATATAACACTGTGACCAGTCATCATGCTCAACCCTCTGTTGGCCCATGGACGTCAGATGATTCATTGAGCAGCACTGATCACAACCACCCAAACTTCACACAGTGTCAATACTCAACACAATCCGTTTCTACATCCATTTCCCAGGCCTTGGACATACCACCACCACAAATTGTCTACTCCTACTCTACCACCACCAATGTACTTCCATCTGTTCCAAATCATGGCTCCTGGAATGATACATCAACCCTTCATGACACCCAGTACCACAATCCGGTATTAGGAGGTGCCAGCATCAGGTACTCTTCTTCTCCTGCAATGGGAAGCAGCTACTGCCCATCCCCACCAACATCCCTGTAAGGAGCTGCTGTCCTCTACGCGCCGACTTATGTTTTAAAACTAAGACGCTCGAACGGACCATGCGTTCGACGACATCCATGTGACTCATTTATGCGAAGAGTGCAACTCTTCGCATCCGAGTTACGTGGATACATTCCTTTCATTTCTTTCACTTCTCCTTTTATCTCTTTCATTATTCTACCTTGTGCTCCCAAATTCACAATACCCTTTCCTCACCGAAGTATTTTCACCTCGCCATATGCTCTTCACGCTCATTCCGGCCTAGTCAAGCAATTCAAAATGTATATATACTCCCCATGTACACTCATACCTACAGCGAATCTTAGAGTCAGATCCCCGCTCCAAGCATGACCGAAAAGCCTCTTAGAAAGTCCCCGTCTCAACTGTCCTCTAAAACTCATCTCTTCTCAGCTTCGTTTTGTTCACCATTCCCTTTTGAACTCATACCCAGCCTTACATCCCAAATGTATGCTCCTCGTTGCCATGTATAAGTGGCCGTTTGCTCATAATCACTCATACACGGGGCGTATCCAAATGGCCACTCTTTGCGGTCCACTTCATCACAGTATACCGTGGCTAATCATACACCTTTGCCTTCCATCTTCGACCATAATATGTCTACCTCTGGGTTCTCGCCATACAACACCTTACCACCTCAATGGCAGACTCGTGCCGTCGCTCAGCCAGGACACCCAAGTTTGCCATCCATACCTATGATACCTCCACCATCAGCAGTGGAATCTTCACAATTTCCATTCGTAATGCAACACCATGCAATTCATGGTGAACAAATGGGCTACCTCTCAAACCAGCTACCGAACAATCAGCCCTATTCATTCCTGCTTCATAGTCATCCTTCATCTCCCCTCCTGTCCTGCCGATGGCTAAATGACGACGTCATTATACACTGTGGATTTACAGGGACACTGAGGGAGTTAAAGTTACACTGTGCCACCGTCCATTTTACTGGACCGAAAATCGCGCGGATCACATGCCACTGGGAGGGTTGTGACTACTACAAGTGCAAGGACCCCACAGTTTGCGCCATGCGGTGCGACTTGGTGTGGCGTCATATTTGTGAGATACATTTGGGGTTGAAGAGGGGTAGTATCTAGGCTTCTGCACTTCTTTGCATTGAAATTTTGGTGATTCCTCGTGTTGGACTTCTGCTAGCTGTCCCATGCTTTCTTATGTTGTTAGGTCTGTTGTCGTCAAACCCGCGCCTTGTTCCTATGGACCATTCGCCATGAGTTTACTTAGTCTCACGTTTCATAGTTTCTTATTGGACCATTAAAATATTTTATAGTCTATGTACGTGAGCATGTATTCGCGGCCAAGCCCGCTAATGCCCATGGACCTTCTCCCTATACCCTCGAGGGCCAATTACCAACTTCACGTTGACCTGCTGCCAATAATATTTGATAGTCAATATTATGAAGAATCCGTCGCGGAGACAAATCGAAAAAGCTGTGCGGCTTAATCTTAAATCCGGAAGGAAACTTACCTTTGCAGCGTATTTCTTCCTGAGGAATGTGCAGAGCTCACCAAGAAACTAGCCAGGCCTGGGAGCATACAGGTCTGGTACCTATACACACCCATCTCTTGAGGATGTTGTAGGGTCAAGAACATGCAACAGATAAACTATCCGTCAAATATCAGCATCGATGTTTGTCATCTCCCACACACACGAAGCATGAATCACATACTTTGATCAATCATTCAGTAGAAGAAGACTCACCTGTCAGTACGCGTATGTTCAAAGCACGGATGATTTTGAACATCCGCGGCAAGTCAGTGTGTTTGACATATGCGCAACCACCAAACTTGTAAGTGTGTTGCTCTTGTATTAAATGGGGACTGAACTTCGCCTGCAACCCTGAGGCCTGAGTCAACCGTAGCATTCATCTTCCTGCTGGTAACTGACAGGTGCCCCAAGGCCACTGAACACAACTATACGATCAACAAATGTTTGTTGGCTGTTCGGCTCAGCGCATATTGCACAACATGATGTCATTGAGTCAAGCTTGAGCTCTAACTTACATTTGACGACCGTTAACGTTACAAGACATTTGGCTCTGAGCTGCCAGTGGCTACCTCCTAGAATTTTGCTTCCAAAGGCTTGCTATTTCTGATTTTATGGCCGAACTTGAAGAGTTTATGAAGACCATCTCAAACAAGTAGACTCGGAGTCTTTCGGGTTGTCTCACGTACGCGGAGGCCGGCGGCCCGCTTCGAGAAGACATTCGGCTCCCATACGAGCTTCTATTTAACCAACATCCCAATTTCGCGCACTACGAACTAGCAGTTCAAGTTGTTCACGCACACGTTCGAACTTTGCAGAACGCGAAAAAATCGCGCTAGACTTGACAATAATTATGGCCCTGACACCACCTAGCTGGTCAATCACCGCGTTCAAGGTCACTGGGAGTTCCAGTAGACCTGTAATTTCCTATAACATTGCCAGTCACAAGTGAGTTCCAGACTTCCATCACCTTGCGCGTTTTCTAATGACAGAATTGCGGGCTAGTTTGGCGCGTAGAATGTCTACCGTTGTTGCAGACGCGCCACCCGCCCCCTCAGACGATCTTCCCACTGGCAGGAATCAGGGTTCTTGAGCTTGGACAACTCATTCGCTGGCCCATTCTGCGGCCAATTGCTAGGGTAAGTTCTCGAAAGAAGCGGCTTGATGTCATGCAGGACTGTAAATAGACATTTTGGTGCAGAGATCATCAAGTTGAACCGCCTTCAACCGGAGACCCACTACGAGTATGGCGCGAGCTCGATATTGACGGAACGAGCCCTTGGTTCCGAAGCCTTGCGAGAAACAAAAAGAGCATTGCTATTGACCTGAGGAAACAGGAAGGAAGAGAGTACGTTGAAGATCAAGGTTCTGTCATCTCGATTTCATATCCTATTGCAGAATCGTGAAGCGGTTGGCTGTAAAAAGCGACGTCATAGTCGAAAACTTTCAAGCCTGGAAGTGAGTTGTAGTCAGTGTAGTTTGTATATATGTACTAAACTCAAGGGTATCTTTAGCTCTGGAAAAGTGGGGTCTTGGGCCACAGGAGTTACATAAAGAGAATCCCTCCCTGATCTTCACCCGTGTCAGCGGATATGGTCAAACAGGTCCATGGGCTTCGCGACCAGGATATGCGTCCGTATGTGAAGCTGAGTCGGGATTTCGCTTTTATAAATGGACAGCCAGACCCGAATACCGGACTGACTTTCGGGTCCTCCGACAAGACCTAACATCAGTCTTGGTGACTCTGTCGCTGGTTTACACGCAGCGTTTGGCACTAGTGAGAGGCAAGTGATGTGGGATGTACATGTTTTGACGTTCCTCAGGTGCTGGCATTGTTGTCGAAGCAGAAAAAGGCCTCACGAGGGGAGCAAGGTGGTGAGACGGTCGATGTGAGCATTATGGAGAGGTAAAAATCCAGCCACTTTTAATGACCTCTACTGGAAAATCTGCAGCATGTTGAACCTGATGGAAGGCATAATTCCAGAGTATGACCGTAAAGGCAAGGTGGGAACTCACTGCGCGTCTGTTTGAATCATGTCCAATTTTCATGTTCACAGATCCGCGGACCATCAGGTTCGTCGGTGACCGGCATAGTTCCCACTAACGCCTACCCCTGCCTCCCATTACCATCAACACCCTCCTCGCCGACATACATAATCATCGGTGCAAATGGAGATACCCTCTACGCACGACTGATGCGTGCCATTGGTCGTGAAGACCTCATAGGAGCGTCGTACGCTCACAATCACCATCGCGTCGCACGGCAAGGTGAGATCGAAGAAGCCATTTCAGCATGGACCAGTCAGCGGCAGGTTGAAGAAGTTCTGATCCATTCTCGAGGGCGCTAGCATCCCTGTCGGACGTGTCGTCGGCGTGAAAGAGATTGTGGAAAGCGAACAAGTAAAGGCCAGAGGAGCAGTGGAGGACGTAGAGGTTGGCAGGGAGGGAGAGGGATGGAAAGTCAAGATGCCGAGAGTTTTTCCTCTGCTCGAAGGCTGCGATACGAAGACCAGATGGGCAGGACCTGATCTGGGTGCACATACAGAGGAAATCTTGGGAGAATTAGGGTTGAACATTGAAAGTATCATCCGGTTGAGAGAAGAGGGCGTTATTGGTTGAGGGATTCTTAAGCCCGGTATCCAGTTATATCTGCTCTGGTTCTGTTGTAATCATGATTGTTATAAATCATCGTAACGGCGCTCGGCCGCGCCAGCACCCGGTGCCCATGGATTCGGTTCGCTCGGACTAACTATGTCCAAAGTCAAACTGATAGCTATGCATAAATCTCTAGTTATAAAAACACAGTACCCGATCACAAAACTATGTTGCTCCTTTAAGCTGCTATAGTGTCGTAATCACCTCAGGCATCAGTTCTCGGTGCCTATAAAGGGTCCAAGAGACCCGGTTTCTATGTTATGGGAAAGTGGTCTCTGAGACCCACCCTCCCCCCATCTATTAATAACACTTACTCCTAGCCCACCTCGCTTCCCTCGCGTCCCTCTAGCTCCACCCTCCCAGAACCCCTTCGCGCCTCTAAAATACCTAAAAAACCCTCTCACGACACCTCTCGCAGACCTCTAGAAATATGACCCATACCTCCAGCGCATCCCTCACGTGCTTTCCACAAACTTAGCGTTGGAGCCTTGTTGATACTTCTTCATACTGGTATGTCCTTCTCGTATCTCCACAATGTCGTCCTCCACACCTCATCCCACTCGCAAATCTCAGCTCACATCTTCAGGGCTAGGCCACCACTTTGTGAGCCCGAGGAAAGCTCGAGACAAACGGAAAACACAAACATTGATCAAGATACCGGTGCGGAGGCGAAGCGTCGCCGACTTCTAGCTGAAATGCAGCAACTTATGAAGCCGCGAGGTGAAAAATCAGACCCACAAGTACTTTCTGCTGACCTTGCTCACGCTGGGGACTGCAATGACTACCCGCCCAAACACATAAACGTTGATGATGCCCACCCACTTCACTCCGAGGGACGTCGGAATGTTAGAACCTCCAAGTCTTGACACCCCGGCAATTGACACGCC